TAGGGTTTAGGGTATATTTATTTCGGTAAGGGATACTGTAAGAGTCTCTGTAAACGCTGCCAGATGCGCTCAATGAGGGTTAAGATCAGGACTCTACCGGGGGCTTCAGGTGTAGGGCTTACGGAATTTGGGGGGTTGCGGTTTGTATGGCCGTGGCCTTAATCATTGACGAGGGCTTGCATTGAAAATGCTTGGGCGGGGGGGGGGGGGGGGGGGGGAATGTTCGGCTGCGAAGTGTGTTGAACGCATGTGTAAAGGCCCCTCAGATGTCTTCACTTGTGGCTTAAAGTTTGGTGCTTTAAGCTCAGGGTGAGTTCCGTAACATCTTGTGGCTGTGGCTCTTTTGGGGGATGTGGTATGGCCGGCTCGCTAGGACTTTCCAGGGATTAGGGATTAGAGTGTTTAGTGCTGAGAAAAAGCCTGTAGTAGCGTCAGAAGCTGTGGTTTAGGGTTCGGCAGTGCTGTGTTGTTTGCCGGGCCTTTCGGTCTTCCAGGTGGCTCTGCAAAAGAGTCATGGCATCTTCCTTCTTGTATCCATGCAGCACGCATGTAGCCATTAGCCGGTGCGGGTGCGGTATTTGTGCAATCAAAGCCTCGGGTGTGTAATGCGCTTAAATGCATGTGGCATGCGAAAGTTCATGCATAAATGCACGCCATGCCTTTGCAAGGATGCTTTCGTTGGCTCACGTTATTTGTGTGTGTTGACTCTCGCTCTCTCTCGCTCCTTTGGGGTGACACCAAATTCCGCAAAGCCATAAGCCGGAAGGTCTGAGCCCTAAGTTTCGTGTTCCCTGCTTGGGCCTCCTTCGCAAGGCCACTGGCGAAGAGCTGGAGGGGGCAGGATTGCTACCTGCAGGCCTGCCCCGTTCTACCAGGGTTCGGGGGAATCAGAACTTGGGAGGAGCATGCTCTTGCAAAGCTGAAGTCGCCTGCAACTTTTGCATTCGAAGCTGGTTAACGGTTGGGGGGCTTGATGCTGAGGGATTGCAGGCTGTTTGATACTCTGACATTCTGCAAGCCAAGAAGAATCCATGCCTAAAACGCAGGCCCGACTGTATCCTGCAGCTAAAACAAAGCTAACCCCTGAGCCCTAGTCGTGAATCCTGAACCCGATGCCCTGTCAGAAGCTGGACCCTAGGACCGGCACTTGTCACCCGAAGCTCCGAAGCTCCAACCTGAACCCCTGGTCTATACCCGTAGGCCCCATAGTAGTTCCTTTTTGGGATTACCTTACAAGATTCTAAATATGAACCCCAAAAAAGGAACCACTATGGGGCCTATGGGCAGCAAAGAGGCTAGGTTGTCATTATGGTTTGTCCTTGTAATCCGACGTCCCTCCTAGTTTCTATGTCTTCTGATCCCTTTGAGCACGTTTGACGGTTGTCCCTGAAGACCCAAAGGGTTGGATCTTTTTATGGCTTCAGGTCTTTCGGGTTGTACGCACTGCTGAAACTTTGCGGGACCACCGGATAGAAGTGTGTGTGCAAGGCCTGGTGGAGGTTTACAACACTCATGCCCTATACATACTCTGAACCACTAAAGCCCTGGAAATGGTTCGTGCCGATCAAAGCCGCCACATACCAGCCCCAACCAAAACACCATGAGCCAAAACACATTATGAGCCTCACTGCCCTCAGACCACGCATTAGCACAAAGCCCCAAACCCTGAATCCTAAACCCTCAGGGCAGGCCCCAAAAAGAGTTCAAAAAGAAAACCTAAACCCTTAACAACCCATACTCTCTATGAGAGACCCATGAGTTCCATCTGCACAGGAAAGGAACCTTCCTTTCCCCTGATTTCCGACCGCCAAATGGCTCCCTGAGCCCTAGACACAACAGCCCTAAACACAGGTACTCAAGTGTTAAGCCCGAAACACAGGTACTTAAAAGGACCTTACGGAGGCGATTTAAGGCTTCTATGAGGTTGTACCAGGGTTCAGGGGTCTTAGAAAGCTTTAAACTTTAAACTCCTGTCTGGAACAGAGCCCCGAACTGCCAAAAAGACGAAAGCCACCTAGCCCCTGGTTTCGAAACCCTAGGCCCAAAACCCTAAAGTGCAACCCCTTACAGAATCTTGCGTAGAAGCGTTTGTTGACAGCCTATGGCAGCCGTAAGGTGAGGCCCTAGACCATAAATCTGCATAAGACCCTCTGAAAGCTCATAAAGACCATATGGGTGGTTGTCAAAATTATGGTCCCTTTTTGGGTCCTTATTTTAATACGGCACCTATTATTTAGGGTACCCCAAAAGGGACCATAATTTTGACAACTACCCATATAACCGAAAAACCGTAAAGCCCTCAACCGTAAGAGGTGAGGAGCCAAAGCAGTCCTCAGCGAGAGTTGGCTTTCGGTTAAAGATCCAAAAGAGCAGCGAAGCACGCAGCGAGAAAGCAGGCAGAATGTTCAGGGTTCAGGGGTTTGCCCTAAACCCTAAACCCCTAAACCCTAAAGCCTAAACCCTAAACCCTAAACCCCTAAACCCCTAAACCCCTAAACCCCTAAACCCTAAATTAGGCCCAGTTTAGGCAGCTTTAATCCAAGGAGATCTAAGCATGAGAAGTCCAGGGTTGGAGATGCTTGACTGGGGGGCTTTAGGGGCTTTGGGATTGGTGGGTTTGGTTTGGGGTTTGGGGTTTAGGGTTTAGGGTTTAGGGTTTGGGGTTTAGGGTTTAGGGTTTAGGGTTTAGGGTTGGGGCCGAGGTTGTAGACGCCAAACCTTAGGATGCGTCGTCTTTTGGGATTTTGGCTCCGCGTTTCGGTTTGCAGAGGCTTGCAAGTTTACAACGTGCTGCAACGACGGGAATGCAGGCTGCAGCTACTAAGAAGGATGTGGCTCATTGGAACGCAATCTAACATAGGGGCCTCAATAAATTAGAATAGGTTTTGGGGCCGACTTTATACTATAACTATAATAAGGACCAGCCCCCCCCCCAAAAAAAAAAAAGTATTGGTAATTACTTACTTCGGCCCCTACAGTAGGGCGTTGCAGTTTGTAGAACCTTAAACCCTCAACCCCGAAAGCAGGGCGTTGCAGTTTGTGAAGCAAACTGAAGGAACAGAATCGGGATGCCTTCGGAACTGTCGAAGCTGCCGTCTGGGACCTGTTCAACAACCGTGAGTCTGAAATATGACGCACGAACTACGGTTAGAGTTTAGGGTCGAGGGTTTTGGGTTTAGAGTTTAGTTGAAAGTTATTCGGTGATTCGATTCTGAGTTTTGGAGCCTTAGATTCACGACTTGGTGTTTAAGCTTTATGGTCTCGGCTTGAGGCTTTCGGGTCGCACGGGTTTAGCCAATATGGCCCTATGCATCAAGCCCTATTCCGAGCCACATAAACCCGAACAGCATGTCGTTTACGGAAACGGGTTTGGCGTCTCTTCTGAAACCTTGCGGAGGCTTTCGGATTCGACTCAGGGTATATACAACCCGTTGAAGACGCTTGGAGTCTCTGGGCAAAGCTGAGCACACTCTACTAGCTCTAGCTGCTTAGGCGCAGTGCTGCTATCTTGGCCCGTGGTTCAAATGCACTTTTCACAGAGCAGTGCGACAGAGTGGCCGCAGCAGTTTTGAGCTTCGGGTCTCCAAGGCTGAATAGTTTATGGAGGCCTTTGATACTAAGACTAGTGACTGCAGGGGTATGGGGAGCAACTTACAACTCCACAGGGACCGTTTTGTTACAAGATGCTGTGGTGTCCCTATACGCAGTTATGAAACTTCCAAAAGGGATGCTACTACTGCTATTACCGATCAGGCAGGCCAGGGCACGGTTGCCGTCCAGCGGAACTCGGTAGCGTCCCGGCCCACGGCGATCGGCGCACGCCATGTTACCATCGCGTCGTCCTTCGAAATTGCAGCGGTGTACGTGTTCTTCACGTTAGTATCATCACACAGTGTTGCTTCCGCACTTGTGTTAAGCTTCTGTGAATCCTGATCTCACCCTCGCAAAGGCATAAATTAGCAAAACTCAGTTGTCTTTCTTGGTTGAGCAAGACCTAAACTGCTCAAGGTCTGCGAGCGATCGATGTGCAAAAAGTCGCTGAATGTACTGCTAAACGTGAGACAGATTGCCTCGCGAAGTGTAGAGGTTGGTAAAGCTTTCTGGAAGTTTGGCTGAAACTCTGTTTGTGACTGCTACATCTGGGATGTCGAAACATGTTCCCTGACCTCAATCCCTCATATACCAAAACTAAATCCCAAAATTCGGAAAACCAAACCCCAAAGACGTCTGTCTTGAGCAGAAAGTTCGAAGCAGGAGCATGCTCTTTCTGGGCCAGAAAGAAAGAAGGTGATGTGTGGCCCCTTACAACGTTGGGCTTTCGAGATTGTGGTCTACTTCCTTGGCGAAGAGATGCGAAGAGCATTAATCGACGCGCTACCAAGCAAAATAGACCACGACGGCGCTGATAGGATAAGAAATCCAGAACTGCTTCGAGTCCGCGCTTTACTGAAGTGCACCGAACAGACCACCTACAGCATCTTAACAGTCAAACTCCACAGAGGACACAGGGGTTTAGGCCTTCTAGTTTACCGTAAAGGGACGGGGGCCTCAGAGCATCAGAAGGAAATCCTTCGGTGCTGTTTACTGCCTCTCGGCTCTAGCTTTGGAGATCCTTTGCATGGTGCAAAAGCGAGGGACCGAATGACTGGCTGCTGCTTCACACATGCAGTGCATGCCCATAGGCCCCATAGTATATAGTTCCTTCTTGCGGCTTCTATTTAGGATCCTGTGAGGTAATCCCAAAAAAGGAACTACTATGGGGCCTATGGGTGGTCCTCATGAGTCTTGAAAGACTGGGCTACGGTGGTGTGAAGCTCAGAGCCTCAGGTGAAATCCATCGTTCAATGCATTTCCTCTTCGTTTCGGGTTTAGGGTACAGGGCTTAGGGTATAGGGTTTAGGGTTTAGGGTATAGCGTTTAGGGTTTAGGGTTTAGGGTATAGGGTTTAGGGCCTTTTCGAAGCCTGTGCAATGTCCCTGTCAAGGGCCTTCCCTCGACACTGAAACCCAAAGTCCACACAAACGAGCCAGAAGCCCTACCTGCCCAAACCGTGCAACACATTACCCTATGACGCCGTGATTCTGTGGTACAACCGTGAAATAGTAGGTAACCGGAGCCACATGTAAAAAGACGCTGGCTTTTTGTGTTACAGAGGCGGGTCGATTGTCGCGAGGAGAGTCCCCCAGGAGGAAGTAGTGGATAGCACAAGACAGTAAGCGCTTAGAGGGTTGGGGGAAGTTTCGGGTTTGTGGTTGTGAGTTTGGGTCTTTGCGTTTTAGGGGTGGGAGTTGGGAGCTCGGGTTTCGGTGTTTCGGGCTTATAGGCTTTCGGGATTGTAATTGGCGCAACGTGTTGTTTGCTCTCCGGTACAGGGGTGTCGGGAATGCTTCAAGCCCGTGAACCCGAAACCCTGAATGCTAAACCCTCATATAAGATTAAAATCACATCCGCGCAGGGAATTCTACTGTAGGCCTTGAAAGTCTAAGAACCTTTACCCTCGAAGCTCCTGGGGGCCTCTTGTTAAAAACAATCGGTTGCTAGCAGCTGGCAGTCAAAAAACGGATCTAGGGCTGCCGGCAAAGCGACTCTTGGGGAATCTAAACCTAAACCTCCGAACCCTAAACCTCCAGTGCCACGGCACGTACGATGTTTAGGAGCTTGATGGGCTGCAAGTGGATGATTGCAAAACTTGCTGCAGCTCAGTGTATATATATATATATAAACAGATGTAAACACACATATGCATAGGCATATATGCATATACATACATACATA